CGTTGTGGGTGGTGGTGCCGTTGCCGCGGTTGCCTTGGGCTGCCGCCGTCGTTGTGGGTGGTGTTGCCGCGGTTGCCTAGGCTGCCGCCGTCGTTGTGGGGTGCTGGGTGCCGTTGCCTTCGCGGTTGCCTTGGCTGCCGCCGTCGTTGTGGTCGTGGTGGTGTTGCCTGCGGTTGTCGTGGCGTTGCCGCGGTTGCTTGGCTGCCGCGTCGTTCGTGGTGTGGTGCGTTTGCCCTGCCGCGTCGTTGTGGGTCGTGGTGCCGTTGCCCGCGGTTGCCTTGGCTGCCGCCGTCGTTGTGGGTCGTGGTGCCGTTGCCGGCGTCGTTCTGGGTCGTGGTGTTCCCGCGGTTGCCTAGGCTGCCGCCGTCGTTGTGGGTGGTGGTTGCCGTTGCGGGTTGCCGCGGTTGCCTTGGCTGCCGCCGTCGTTGTGGGTCGTGGTGCCGTTGCCGCGGTTGCCTTGGCTGCCGCCGTCGTTGTGGGTCGTGGTGCCGTTGCCGCGGTTGCCTTGGCTGCCGCCGTCGTTGTGGGTCGTGGTGCCGTTGCCGCGGTTGCCTTGGCTGCCGCCGTCGTGTGGGTGTGGTGTGTTGCCGTTGCGGTTCTGGGTCGTGGTGTTCCGCGGTTGCCTTGGCTGCCGCCGTCGTTGTGTGGTGGTGGTGGTGTTGCCGGCGTCGTTCTGGGTCGTGTGTGTTCCCGCGGTTGCCTAGGCTGCCGCCGTCGTTGTGGGTCGTGGTGTCGTTGCTGCGGCTGCCGCCGTCGTTGTGGGTCGTGGTGCCGTTGCCGCGGTTGCCTTGGCTGCCGCCGTCGTTGTGGGTCGTGGTTGCGGTTGCCTAGGCTGCCGCCGTCGTTGTGGGTGTGGTGCCGTTGTGCGGTTGCCGCCGTCGTTGTGGGTCGTGGTGCCGTTGCCGCGGTTGCCTTGGCTGCCGCCGTCGTTGTGGTGTCGTGGTGGTGTTGCCGCCGTCGTTCTGGGTCGTGGTGCCGTTGCCGCGGTTGCCTTGGCTGCCGCCGTCGTTGTGGTGGTGGTGGTGGTTGCCGGCGTCGTTCTGGTCGTGGTGTTCCCGCGGTTGCCTAGGCTGCCGCCGTCGTTGTGGTCGTGGTGCCGTTGCCGCGGTTGCCTTGGCTGCCGCGTCGTTGTGGTCGTGGTGTTCCCGCGGTTGCCTAGGCTGCCGCCGTCGTTGTGGGTCGTGGTGCCGTTGCCGCGGTTGCCTTGGCTGCCGCCGTCGTTGTGGGTGGTGTTCCCGCGGTTGCCTTGGCTGCCGCCGTCGTTGTGGTCGTGGTGCCGTTGCCGCGGTTGCCTTGCTGCCGCCGTCGTTGTGGTCGTGTGTGGTGTTGCCGGCCGTCGTTCTGGGTCGTGGTGCCGTTGCCGCGGTTGCCTTGGCTGCCGCCGTCGTTGTGGGTCGTGGTGCCGTTGCCGCGGTTGCCTTGGCTGCCGCCCGTCGTGTGGGTCGTGGTGCCGTTGCCGCGGTTGCCTTGGCTGCCGCCGTCGTTGTGGGTCGTGGTGCCGTTGCCGCGGTTGCCTTGGCTGCCGCCGTCGTTGTGGGTCGTGGTGGTGTTGCCGGCGTCGTTCTGGGTCGTGGTGTTCCCGCGGTTGCCTAGGCTGCCGCCGTCGTTGTGGGTGGTGGTGTGTGCCGCGTCGTTCTGGGTCGTGGTGTTCCCGCGGTTGCCTAGGCTGCCGCCGTCGTTGTGGGGTGGTGGGTTGGCTGGCGCCGTCGTTGTGGTCGTGGTGCCGTTGCCGCGGTTGCCTTGGCTGCCGCGTTGCCGTTGTGGGTCGGTGGTGCCGTTGCCGCGCCGCGGTTGCCTTGGCTGCCGCCGTCGTTGTGGTCGTGGTGCCGTTGCCGCGGTTGCCTTGGCTGCCGCCGTCGTTGTGGGTCGTGGTGCCGTTGCCGCGGTTGCCTTGGCTGCCGCCGCGTCGTTCGTGGGTCGTTGTGGGTCGTGGTTGCCGTTGCCGCCGTCGTTGTGGGTCGTGGTGCGTTGCCGCGTCGTTTGTGGCCTGCCGTTGCGCCCGGTTGTGGGTCGTGGTGCGTTGCCGCCGTCGTTGTGGGTCGTGGTGCCGTTGCTGCCGCCGCCGTCGTGGGTCGTGGTGCCGTTGCGCGGTCGTTGTGTGGTCGTGTGGTTGCCGGCGTCGTTGTGGGTCGTGGTGCCGTTGCCGCGGTTGTTGCCGCGCGTCGTTGTGGTCGTGGTGTGCCGTTGCCGTTGCCGCGGTTGCCTTGGCTGCCGCCGTCGTTGTGGGTGGTGTGGGTTGCCTGGCCGTGCCGTTCTGTGGGTCGTGGTGCCGTTGCCGCGGTTGCCGCCCTGGCTGCCGCCGTCGTTGTGGGTGTTGGTGCCGTTGCCGCGGTTGCCTTGGCTGCCGCCGTCGTTGTGGGTCGTGGTGCCGTTGCCGCGGTTGCCTTGGCTGCCGCCGTCGTTGTGGGTCGTGGTGCCGTTGCCGCGGTTGCCTTGGCTGCCGCCGTCGTTGTGGGTCGTGGTGCCGTTGCCGCGGTTGCCTTGGCTGCCGCCGTCGTTGTGGGTGGTGGTGGTGTTGCCGGCGTCGTTCTGGGTCGTGGTGTTCCCGCGGTTGCCTAGGCTGCCGCCGTCGTTGTGGGTGGTGTTCCCGCGGTTGCCTTGGCTGCCGCCGTCGTTGTGGGTGGTGGTGCCGTTGCCGCGGTTGCCTTGGCTGCCGCCGGCGTCGTTCTGGGTCGTGGGTGTTCCCGCGGTTGCCTAGGCTGCCGCCGTCGTTTGGGTCGTGGTGCCGTGCGCGTTGCCTTGGCTGCCGCCGTCGTTGTGGGTCGTGGTGCCGTTGCCGCGGTTGCCTTGGCTGCCGCCGTCGTTCGTGGGTCGTGGTGCCGTTGCCGCGGTTGCCTTAGGCTGCCGCCGTCGCTGGGTCGTGGGTGCCGTTGCCGCGGTTGCCTTGGCTGCCGCCGTCGTTGTGGGGTCGTGGTGTGCCGTTGCCGCGGTTGCCTTGGCTGCCGGCGTCGTTCTGGGTCGTGGTGCCGTTGCCGCGGTTGCCTTGGCTGCCGCCGTCGTTCTGGGTCGGTTGCCTAGGCTGCCGCCATCGTTCTGGGTTGTGGTGTTCCCGCGGTTGCCTAGGCTGCCGCCGTCGTTGTGGGTGGTGGTGTTGCCGCGGCTGCCGGCATTACCATTGCCCCCGCTGTCATTCAAGGTGTTGTTCTGTTGACAGACAGATGTCACTTAGAATGATGGTCAGAAGAAGGTAGTTCCACTACAATTTTTTTTTTGTAAGTGTACTCAGCTGTTCTGTCACTTGGTAATTATTGCATCACATTTAACATTTTATAATACAATTTTAAAGTTGTGACATTCACTCGTCAATTAAATGCAGGTGGAAATTTGCTTGCTTATATAAATTAATTTCTACACAGTGAACATTGTAGAAGTTCAAAAGGCAGATACCACATTTCTGGGGTTCCCTGAAGCCACAGCGTGTGCAGTCTCATTAAAGACGTGGTGAGAAACACTTTCTAACGCTGCTTCCACTTGATTGCTTTCCAGTTCAACTGAAAGGAAAAGTTTTAGCACAGAGTCAAGTTAATGTTGGCAATGTTTTTCAAATATTCAAAAAAAAGCACACACATGCACCTTTGTTTTGTGAAGTGAAGGTTTAAACTGCCAGAAAAGTTCAAAATTTTCTGTATTGATGTAGGTAGAAGGAAGGGTTCTGTTATCACTACACCCTGCTTTTTTCTTCAACTTTTACTTACTTTACTGATAGTCAATATGTATCAGATTTAAAAGTACTATCCCACCAAAACAAAAACCCACCCATGTACTTTAAATACCCAATATATGCTACTTTCTGATCCATGTCATTATACTCCACATTGTGAGGTCATGTGGTAATAGAGGAAGTGCCCCAGTGTGTGTGTAAACGCTATACACTTCACTAGAATCATTTGAGCCTTGAAGATGGCCGTTCACCATTAGTTCAGTAGAGACTGGCAATTCCAAAATTATCACAAGGTGGACCAGAGCAATGGAGTAATCTTTAAATGTGTGCTTTAAAAAAAATAAAAAATTAAAACACACACTAGAAGGCCCATATTAAACCATTTTCTATCTAGTATTTAAACAGGTTAGAATTATGCTTCCTCAAAAAGAGTTATGTTGCGTTTCAGTTCACACACACAAACCCTGTATATTTTAGGCTATGTTTCTTTTTTCTCCCAAACTGAAAACACCCTGTTCACATTGTGATGTCACGTGGTAAACACATACAGGAATTGCTCCACTGAGTTTTTAATCTCCATACACAATCACGACAATAATTTCAGTAAAAGGTAGCTGTCAACTTAAAATGCCGTTTCACCTTGTGATGCCATGAAGCAGTAGTTTGAGCTTTGGAGATTTAGACACACCAATAAAAAAGGAGCATGTGTGATTACCTCCACATCAGAAAAGTTATAGTGCACTTTAAAAGAGAAATTAAATACAGGCCTAAAAAGGTGTGTGCTGCATTCACTCACCCTCTTTAACTTCGGGATCCACCTTGGCGACCAGGGACTCGAGCACCTTAACTACATTCTTCAGCTCAGACACATGAAGTTCTAAAACAACATCGCAAATCACATTACCACGTGAATAATCCAACATTTCTGAAATATATTAGCCTACATTATAATAGCAATACCGTACCTTTCGGGACACTTACAACTTCACCCCAGCTCGCTACCTGCACCTTGCCAACTATTAAACAAAATACGTCAGTTTCACAGTTTCTAGGATTTAATTTTATATTTCTTAAAAAGGGGATTTACCTGTGAATGTTCCAAGACTGAGTAGAAAGCAACACCAAACCCACACTGGTCCCATTTCGCCGGTGTCCAGGAGAATGGTCCAGTCAGTAGAGTCAGTATGCAACAGTTAGCTCCAAGTGTCACACCTGACGTCCATGAGCGTAACGACACTTTATATGGGCGTGAGCGCGTGCGCTGCGGGAGCCTATTGCGGTGACCTGAACCTTTAAAAGGCAGAGTCCCTCACCTGCTCGAACTCTTACTCCCCTCTGACGTCACCCGCTATCTAGGAGCAGTGCAGTAGCACGAGCGCCGGATTAAGCTTTAATATCGCTTCAAATTCCCCTTTCTCGGGTCTAAAACCTGATGAATGTGTCCCGCGGTGCGTGTGTCCGTGAGTATGATGCGAGCCTCACTCATTCATTCGCCAGTGTATCTAAACGAGTAACCGTGCTTTCCTCTAAACGTAAGTTATTTTGTGATTCCAAATGGATATGAAAATAAATATTTAACTGGTGCTGTTTTGCAGCGCGTGGCGTCCAGAGCTTCTCCGTGCACGAGGACACCTCCAGCCTCGTGCTGCACACGTTCTGTCTGTTCGCTGGGTGAGGGTTCGACTCCACTCAGTGACAACACACTGTTGTATCTGAAGTCATTCATCCAGCGCTGTGTGTAGGTGGGGCGCCCAGATGACACCCACTGTCTGCGCTGGGTGCGTCTGAGCGCGCGGCGCATCCTTGGAACTTTGGTATGTGTAGTTATGCCCGGAGTTCTGTCCTGCTACGTATGACTTGGAATAGTTCATACTCTAAATTCCAAATCATTACTTTTTAGGCTTGGAGACTCCACGAGCCTCTTTTTCTTCTCCTCGTCCTTGATTCTTTTTCTTTCCATCCTTCCCAGCTGCTGTGGGTATTGGACCTGCTTCAACGAGCAGATCTAACGTTGTTTTAGACTGTTCTCGTTGATTTTTATTCTGTGTGTGAAAGAGCGAATGTAAAAATCTTTCTTGAATTAAATGGTTGTTTTTTTTTAAATTTGCCTTAAACCAGTAAGTACCAAATAAAATTGTATATTTTCCCAGTTCATATCTGTTGCCTCATGCTTACCTGCTTGCCTTTTATAATTTACCTGTTGCCTTCTTAGTGGTGTTGTTGTACAACATTTATGGTTTACAAATTGGGATGAGTGAGCAAAATTGGAGCCCATTTATATTTTTTAAGACCTTCTGCCCCAGTGCCACGACATTTAGAAGAAGGCATGTCCATACTTTTGACAGGTGTAGTGTATGATTAGAGACAGCCCCTCCATGTTTTTTTTAAGTTGAATAACTAAATATTTTTGACAAGACAATGGCTGGGTACTTTAAGGATTTGAAAATAAAATTTAAAGAAAATTAATTCCATATATCTTTGTGTATTTGTCTGATTATGACAAAATACAAAATGGATTTAAATTGGATTGCTGATTTGGTTGTGTGTTCTTCCACACTAACTTGATTTCGTGTTATGATCTGAGTACATTTCTACTTGACAAGTAAAATGATCTAATAGAACAAGATGCAATTCCAAATTTTAAGAAAAACTGTGCAATTAAAATAAAATGGCAAATACTCACTGTACTGTGTAGGCATGTTTTGGGGGGGACTTTCAAAACTGGATTTGCCCATACCTCTAGTCATCTACAGGCTGCTTAGATTCTCATGTGTGAAAATGGGAGAAATAAGGACTGTAGTCTTGTACATTCCGTATGCCTGTCCTAAAAGAGTTGACCAAAGAGACACGAAGTGAATGAAAATGGTTTGTGTGTTTGTCAGTAGGGGGCAGTGTTTCCTGAGAAATAGTCAATCTACAAATCCAACTCTGTTTTCTGCATTTATGGATCAATTTAACCTTGAAGATATCTGGAGAATGAAGTACCCTAAAAACATTACTTAGAGAAACAAATCAAGATCTGGTCAGTTAAGAGTAAATTTTTTTCTCTAAAGGTTTTAACAAAGACAAACTGAAGTGGATATATCCCCCACTCCTCTAAAGGACCATAAAGGCATATCGATCAATATTCATTTCTGTGTTTCTCAGTTTAGTTTAATGATTTTACCTGTTTCCTAGATTAGGTGTTAGGCGTCAGTTAAAACACTGTGGTCCAATAGAAACAGCGCCACCTAGCTGCCAGGGGGCACATCCCCACAACATCCCTGTTACTCCTGGAGATTTGGCAAAAGTATCTGGGGCTATCCCTCTGGTGTCTGCATGCTGTTTCAAAGTGAAAATAGGTTTGATAATGACAAACTTCATAATAAAGCTGTCAAAGACACACCAGTGGAGAAAATCTGCTTTTCAAGTTATTCTACAAATAAGTCTGCTGTTTCAGACAAAACAAACAACAAAACAATTCTCACTCACTTTTCTTAAATTTAATTTGAACACAGCGATATGTTAGAATATATATATAATAATAATGCACTTTATTTAAAGACGCCTTTCTGGGCACTCAAGGACACCATACCAACAACAATTAAGATACACAATGAAAAACAATAAAAACAAACAATACCTGAGTGCATTAATTGGGGTAGGCACATTCAAATAAATGGGTTTTGAATCTGGATTTTAATAATGGGAGTAAATTGAGATTGTCTGTGTGTCTGTGTGCATGTCCAGGTCATTTAGACTTGGCTTCTAATTGTCTAACAGTCTGGAGCGCAATATCAACAGTGGCCAGTGTGCAGTTATTTATATATTTTGATTGGTTTATCTAACCTTTATATAATTCTGAACCAGTCCAGTGAATTTGTCACGTTTCAAGCTCAGTTTTATTTGCAGAGTACAGACAAGTTGGCTACTGCTTTAGGCACTACAAGAGGTACTCGATTACTGAGTAAATCTTTATTTCAACAGACAATGGCTATTTACCAGGGGGGTATAGTAAGAGTACTGTTACTTCAACTATGTATATTACTCAAGTAAAAGTACTGCTAGGTAAGTACTCTGAAAAGTACAATTAGTTTAAAAAGTCACTCAGCCTGATGTAGCCTGAGTGTCCTAATCTCTGGCTGTTGTCTTATGGTTTAATTTTGCATTGAAAGGAAAGCATGAATGCACAAAGGCACATTTCTTTGAATAAACTCATCGTAATCACGATCTAGGTATTGTTAAAAGGGTAGTTTGCTCAAATATTGGTTGTTTTTTTGTGTAACATGGTGAAATCCAAAAGGGATAAACAGTTAATGTCAGGTTTAAGCCCACCTAAACATTGCAAAAGTAAGAAGAAAGACAAGAGATTAATGAGGATTTACTCACGAGGAGGACAGACGGAGAGTGCGATCAGTTACAGCAGTCTCCACCCGCCCCGATGCACTCAGAGCCGCCTCCTCTTTTTATTTTCTTAGGGTGGTCCCTAGTTACAATGGGTGTTTCTCTAAGGGAGAGGGGTTGAAAACAGCAAAAAACAGTAGAAACATCAGACATGATTTCATTGTGCAAATATGTCTATTCAGCAGCAGGTGGCCGATAAGGTGTAGCATCATTGTTGTAGCATCTTTGTTGTAGCATCTTTAGGAACAGCACGTCCCCTCCAGCACGTCCCCTTCTTTCTGCCAACCTTGAGAGCTGTCCTCTTTCCCAGCAAAGTGAGAGCCGTCCTCTTTCTCAGAAAAGAGCTGACTAAGTCATTGTTTTAGCGGTGTGCAGAGTGGGTGACAGGTCACTGCATAGTTATTAAGCACAAAACATTATTCACACCAAAAAACAATATATAGAAAATATGGGATAACACATACAATTATTCTAACATATGAACATGGAAAGTCACAAGACGTTTGTGAGAGCATTTCCCAAAGATCAGACTGGTGTAGTAGAAATGTTATGAGTTTGAGGAGCGCAGGGTCTGGTCTCAGTTGAAGTTTGCAAAGGTTGCAACGATGCATGTGACCTCCCCCAGGATTGGATTTTAGGTTTGACAGACACAATGTTGGGTGCTCTTCTGTGGACAGTTGGGTAGAGTGCCATCAAAGACGCCTACAATATGCCTTCAGTAAAGCCAGCAAGCACAGAGACTCTGAGATGGCCAGACAAAAGCACCATTATGACCACAAGGCACAGGACTCCCCACTCATCCCAGGGGACAGGGTGTTGCTAAAAGACATGAGGGCAAAGTGCCGGGGTAAGTTGGCTGACAGGTGGGAACAGAAGTCATATGTTGTGGTCAAACAACTAGACTTAGAGTATTTTCTCTTTGTTGCTGGACCCTTGTCTGTTCACATAAACGGGGAACTCCATCGTAATGCACAAGTGCCAACTCGGAATGCAAGTCCACTGGCTCCTCTGTGAAACAAGCCTACACACGCCTGCTGCTCCCCAGGACGCTGCTGCTACTCCACAAGACTTTCCTGACCGTGCTGTTGCTGCTCACTGTGGTGACTTGGAACCACGATCTACGAAGGGCCTGCCTCCAAGACAGCTGAAGGACCTCTAGCACCACGGACAGCGGCCACTGGGACAATAACAATTTTTAAAGGGGAGGATAATTACAGGGGTAATAGTATCGTTTCTCTGCCACCTTAAATGGGTGTTTTTTCTTTGTTTAGTGTGGGTCAGTGGCCATGCAATTGGCAGGTGGGGGTAGTGCTTATTACTTAGAAACTCTTTGAACCTCCTTCCTCTCTCTCTTGCTCAAACCTGGTTGTCTCTTTTTTTAGATTAGTAAGAAGCAGATCACCACATGGCACTTACAGGACTCATCAGAAATATTAAAGGGGTTAATGTTAAATTGGGTCTTTAACTGGATTAACTTTAACTGAATGTGTCTCCCTCTCACACCTGGTTGTTTCTTTGTTCAGAAGGTCCTTGGGCAGTCCTAAGACCCGCTGGGGACAAGGCGCCGCACCAGCCGTCAATTTCCTGCCACGGACTCATGCTAGCCGACTAAATGCCTGGACCTCTGGACTAGCTCTAAGTTTTAACCTTTTGACAAACTCAAGTGCACGACTACAAAGCACTGTTCCAGTTTAAATGCATCAATTTGAGCTCCCGAGGCAGAAGTGGAGTAACGAGCCACTTTTTACAATACAATACAATACACAAAGTGTATTGGTTTTATTGTGTACTTGAACTAGTTGAGCAATGACTTGTGTTAGATTTGCGGCAGAATACCTAGATGATCGAATGGTTTTAGTTCAGTCTCTAGTCCTGGTTCAGTCCAGAAATAAGAACTCCAAGCATGAGTTGTTCGGTCATGTACATGTAGTGCAAGTTCAAATCTTGATACCCTGCAGCTGACATCAACATTCTCTGAGGTGTGACGCTAACGTAGGCACTGCTCTGTCTGAAGCTCTATTACTCAAATTACTTTAATCTGAGCTTTGTTTTAATGCAATCTGACCAGAAAGGACTTGGGTGGAACTACAACAGGTGAGCAAATTTGTGATCTTTAAATCCATTTTGTCATTATCAGACATCAAATACACAAAGCAAGATATATGGCTTTAACTACTTAATTTTCATATTTATTATAATTAAAGTAGCCACCCTGTTCTCTTATCAAAAAATATCAACTAAAAAAAGAGTCAAGTTTGGACATGCTTTCTTCTAAATGTGGCACCAGGGCAGAAGGCCTTAAAAATATAAATAGGGTCCACACTAAGAAGGGAACAGGTAAATTATAAAAGGTAACAGATATGAACTGGAAAAATATACAACTTTATTTGGTACTTACTGGTTTAACAATTTTTTTAATTCATAAAAGGTTTTTACATTCTCTTTCACACATAGAATACAATTCTGTAAGAGCAGTATTAAACAACGTTAGATCTACCCACAGCAGCAACAAAAAAAGAGAATAAGAGGAAGAGGAGAAAAAAGGGGGAAGCTCGTGAATCTGAGCTGGGGCGGACTTGTGAGTGTCCCTAAAGGTACGGTATTGCTCTTATAATGTAGGCTAGTATATTTAAGAAATGGATTATTCACGTGGTAATGTGATTTGTTATGTTGTTTTTAGAACTTCATGTGCCTGAGCTGAAGAATGTAGTTAAGGTGCTCGAGTCCCTGGTCGCCAAGGTGGACTCCAAAGTTAAAGAGGGTGAG